TCAAAATCATAACATTCTTCCGATCTGTAATTGTGAAATATTAAGTCATGAGAATGTATATATTTGTTGCTGTATTCTTTCCTTTGCAGTTTTAGCCATACAACTGTTTATTAAAAAAATATTTGAAATATTCGTTAATATCATTTTACCTAGTGCTTGTGTTTTTATTTGATAATTGGCTTTTCTTGAAAGTGGGCTTTAAATAAGAATAATATTACATTATACTGTACATAATATATTTCAAAGACAGGTTCTTACACAAAAGGCGGGAATCTTAAATATACGTGGTCAAGTTAAAAAGAATAGGGTGAAACCTACACCAATTACCATGTGTTACATGTGTTGGCCATTCAAGTTCCCTTACTTCACTAAATACATGTTAACCAACGAAGGAAAGAGGAAATACGTCAGCAACAACCAGGACGATTGGGACCGCTGGGAGAAGAGGAAGTGACGTCACATCGTGTTTACGGAAGTAAATTGGCACTGTACAAATGTCACTGTGTGTGCGTGTAATGACTTCAAAGTTGTTGCGCATTCAGTGTCAGTCAACGATATCGCTTTGCAATTAAGCACCCATCGCCTCCGCGGCTGGAGGTTTTCACCAGACTGTTCTCCAGCGTTTACCCCCTTAAGCAGTAATACTAGGACGGGAGCCCGGTGACGCCAGCCCCCCGGTGACCAACTATTAAATATATTTGGTGTAGCAGAACATTCTAGATACGTATTATTTGATTATCAGTAAGAGCGTATAATTTACTGCATTTTAGAGAAAGTGAATATTGTACCGAGCGGAATTATGTTTTTAGATTAATTATTGGATATGTCCTACATAATTCTGGTTTCTCATAAACAATAATGAATTTCCGGCGGGCCAACACCGCCCCATTCTGCTTGTTTATCTAGTTTCTGTGTCAGTGTACGTCTAAATACATGTCAAGGCAGTATTAATCGAGAAGAGCACATCGATCTGACTACCCAGAGCCAGTCTTTCACATTAACCCACCAGTGGCTGACAAATAAAATAAATACAAAGTCAACGTGGAAATAAATAAATGTAAGAAAAAGAAATGTCATTAAATACACACAAAAACAAAATAATAGAACCGACCTATTCAATACTGTAGTGTTCCGTGATGTCAATGTATAGAAAAGCGCCTTAATTTCAGATTTCTTGCGCCTTAAATACATACGTTACGGTCTTACGTTAATACGCTACAGAAAACAAATAGCCTACATAAAAAAACGTTTTAACTCATGGCCGAATATTAAAAACACCAAAGCGTGAATTAATTTCTACTTTGATACACCAATACGCTGCATTATAAAATGTGCAAATTTGTAACAACAAAAAAAAACAACAAAAAAAAAAAACAAATCCCAATGTCTACTTTAATTAATGTTTCATTTTGTTCCACACTGGTCACCAACGGAACGATTAGGAAGTGAAGAGGAAGAACATGGAGGACGACCCACGGGACACCGTTTCAGCAGGTGGAATTGTCTGTCAATTGTAGAGACTTCCGAGCGCCGACATATTTGCATATTGGCTCAACGACAGGTTAACGCTGTCCGTTCGTGTTACCCAGAACGAACATAGCGAGGTAACATGTCTGCTGTTCCCGCTCGAAACACTAAAAATAAACGGGTTCGTTTTTCCAGCATGGAGGACGACAACGTCAAACAAGAGGAGAAAGACACCTTGTATGAAAAGAAAAGGGACACGAGGGGAACGCCGAAGACCGCACTGAAGGCGACGAAAGGTGGAGGCTACGAACAGCTTGTGGAGGTGGTCAACGGAGGAAGGGGCGGACAGGGAGCGTGTGGCCGCTGGATGGTTACCCTGACTCTCTGTGCATCATTTCTGGGTTTGGTAAGTGGGAATTGTGGATGTCCATGGTTTTCTTATAACATTGACAGCCGTCAGTCTGTACGCGAGGACAGTTTGACAATGTCTTTGGGTTTTATTCACTTAAAACATGAAAGACGTGTGTTTGAAGTAATGAAGGCAGACGTTTATTAGCTCTGTGTTGTGTTGTGTTGTGGTGTTTCCAAGGGTTGGACAGGGTTTCGTTTTAATCCAATTTCGTATTTAAAGTTTTCAGGTGCAACTGAACACAAGTTACAGCATAAAACTCTGAGAGCTCAGCACAAGTTATGTTTTTTTTTTCTTTTTCTTCAAAAATATAAAACTCTGAGAGCTCAGCACAAGTTCTGTTTTTTTTCTTTTCTTTTTCTTCAAATAGCCACCTAGGTCAGGCATAGGCAAATTAAGGCCCGGGGGCCTGGATGCGGCCCATTCAGCTTTATAATCTGGTCCACCAAACTTTTCCAAATTCTATCATTTATTTATATTATCGTTATACTTCTGCCTTTTCCATGCAATACCCACGTTTCCCCAATAAATGGCGTAGAAAATTATAAAAGCACTAACGGGTCAGAACGCTCTCCAATAAGCAATAAACCCAAATTACCTGAAGTCATTAGAAATTCTAGGGAATTGAGCCTTGAGTCCCGATTGTAAATGTAGTTTTTAATTTTTATTACTTATAATAATTATGATAATTACTGCTTCAAAAAGTAGAAAAGGAAATGTATTGAAATATTTAAAAAATAATTTTAAAACAGTAGGACTTGTATTTTTTTCAGGGTAAAATGGACAGACCAAAGGAAACGTGATAAAACCCTCATGTTGAGCCACATGTCTAGTTTTGAACGGGATCGCTGATGCTGATAATGAAGTATTTCATTCATAGTGGGTTTTTTTTAAGTTTAAAGCATGATTCTATAACGTAAATACATTTTATACATAAATAGTTTTTCACTTGTGAACTTGTAACTGATAGATATTTAAATAGTATTTATTTAAATGTCATATATATATATATATAAATATTATAGTCGAACTACTAGAAGATCCGGTTGAGTTCATGTGAGATATTTGAACTGCGTTTTGCTTTGGAGTGTTTGCTCAGTAACAGCCAAGTTCCTGAACTAACACTGTACTTATTTTCTCTGGAAGACATCACTGCACCACGAGCAGTTACTGTGAGTCTTATGTGTACAACTGTGGCCTTATATAAACACCCTAGTCAACATATAGTGAGACCAGCTCGTCCAGGTGTTCAGACAACAGAAACTTAAGACTTCCTGCACAGACAGGATGTCCATAGTTGCAGAACTTGCCCATCAGCTGTTCATGTTACTAAAGTCCCTCCACTGTAGTCATTCTTTCAGGATCTTAACTTTGTTTATCCAGTTGCAGTTGTCTGCTAAATGGATGTTCGTACAAATGAACAACTGCTTGACAACATATATAACATATTTTAAATTAAATTCACATTAGGGTTGCCATATAACATTTAACGTACATACTCGCGTATTTGCGATTTGCATATAAGCCGACCCCTGAAAATTGATCCCAAAATGGTGATTTTTTTTTTTTACAAAAACTTGCATAAAAGCCAAAAATGGTGATTTTTTTTTTTTACAAAACCTTGCATATAAGCCAACCATGTTTTCATTTTTTGCCATGGTAAAATGCCTTACTCCTGCTGTGCGCATCAACAAAGAATTAGAAAATGATCTTGGTAAACACGGTTTATGTTAAAACTGCCAAGATTTCGCCAATGTTTGTTACCAAATTCAGAACAGATGTGGTTTTTTGCATTACTGTATATAAGTGGTACAGTTAAAATAATTATTAAATATCAGTTGTAGATTGTGTGGATTTAATTTATTTATAAGTGTGTTAATATTTTTGACCATACGTTCGACTTGGTGTTTATTATCAGTGATGACGCGATCGATGGAAAATGCTGTCCCAAGTATTTATGCGCATGAAGTCCAACCCCCTGATTTGAGCTTCATTTTTCGGTGTTTTAAATCCGACTTATATGCGAGTGTGTACGGTACTCTGGATAAGTTGGGGCTAAAATTTTGACTCTCATGATAGACATACATTTATCTGGAACCTCCCATTTACAACCTATGTCAATATTCTCTTGTGTTTTTCAGGGGATGAGTATCTCAGTACTCGGCCCAACCTTTGAGGATTTGGCTTTAAATGTGAAAAAGAACATCAGCAACATCTCCTACGTCTTCTTAGGACGCTCGTTGGGATACCTGGGAGGATCGCTGTTTGGAGGCATTCTGTTTGAGTGCATGAACCCCCACCTGCTGCTTGGTACCGTTCTCCTTTAAGTATACCATCGTGAACAAGTTTGTATATGTACATATATTTAATACAGTACGGTACATATTTTTGGTAGGAATATATAACGAACATGTACCTTTTCAGTGGTACATGAGTAGCAGATACTGGTACACAAGCCTAGAGTGCCCTCTAGCGGCTGTGAGTAAAAATAACAAACATGTTATATATACTATATATAATATACTGTATATATTATATTATATACATAATATATATAATTAATTAGTCACAATTAATGGTATTAAAATCACATCAAATCATATTTTACACAACAAACAGTATTTTTCAACTAAAACAGATTTGAGTAGAGGACTAAATAAATTCATAGACATATGTTTGAATTATGATGGAGGCTATGCTCGCTGCTTTGTGTTTTTTGTTAAAAGATAGATATACTTTGTTGATCCGGGCTGGGAAATGACAGTTAAGGTGGCAGCGGAGACTTGAATGTGCTTCAAAATAAAGTGCATTCATTTAAAATTCAATTTTAAATGTTAAATTCCCAACCCTAGAAGTATTGTGTGTATTTTTTCCATATTTAGGAATGGCAATTTCCCATGATTAACCATGATTGTGATTAATACATATAATGTATGTAACAGTTTTTGACATTGAGTACACATTACTCCGGAGAATTACCATTAGCAACTTCATTTATTTTATTATTTTATTGTTTTTCTCTAGGTGAGCAGTTTTTTAGGGATTAAATAGTTTGACTTCACTGCTGCCACGTACTTCCCATTTTCTGTCATTTAATTCTCATTAACAATAGCGCCCAACCCAGATTTTTGCTTAGGTACTTATTTCGTTTCAGGAACAGGAACATGCAGTACTGTACGAGTGTTTGTGTGCATGTGAAGTGCTAGAGAAATAGATATTAAAAGATTTACAAAAATGTTCTTCAGTAATGTATCAATCCTGTATTTATAGTATAATTCATGTACTATTTTTCTTTCATAATAAGACCGCTGGTAAAAAGACTACCATATTTTTCCGGAGTATAAGTCACACTTTTTTTCATCTTTTGGCTGGGTTTGCGACTTATACTCAGGTGCGACTTATATATTCAAATGTGTAATTTTACATGTTCGTTATTTTCACACTGACAGCCACCAGAGGGCACTCTAGGCTGGTGTACCAGTATGTGCTACTCCTGTACCACTGAAAATTTGCATGTTTGTTACTTTCACACTGACGGCCGCTAGAGGGCACTGGTGCGACTTATACTCCAGAGCTACTTATCTTCCGGAAAATATGGTACTCACCCAGCCCTAGAATTTAGTGATAAGAAAAGTGTCTCAATACAATACTGTCAGGCAAAAAAAAAAAGTTTTGAATGTTCACATTGTTGCACATAAAAATCATGGCAGTGTACTATGACTCTTCTGACAGTTCTCTTCAACAAAAAAAACGTTTACCTCAATTTCTTTCCACAGGTTGTTCGATGGTCATCACAGCGTTCGGGATGTTTGCCATCCCTTTCTGCAAGCAGGCTCTGCTCCTCACGGTGTTCATGTCCAGCATTGGAATGTCGATGGGGGTTCTGGACACAGGTGAGCTGACCAGCCGTGTTAGAAGACAACATTATTTTAACTTTTTTTTTTTTTTAAGTTATTCTAGAACATGGTGATCTATAGTTTCAGGAGGCTATTCCTTCAAAAGCATCGGTTTTGTGCATGGACTCTAGTGCACCAAAGGCATTAATATAGTAAGCTGCTGCCAGATTGAGCCGTCCAAGGCTTGTAACAAAATATTTCCGAGTTGAATGGTTTAGGACAGACATGGGCAATCTAAGGCCTATTTAATCCTGCTGTAGGACAGACATGGGCAATCTAAGGCCTTTTTAATCCTGCTGGCCAAATGTTTCCAAATTATATAACTTATTATATAATCATTATACTTCTGCCTTTTCCCTGCAATACCCACGTTTCCCCAATAGATGGCGTAGAAAATGATAAATGATAATGTAATTTATCGTAGTTCACACAAAGGCTCCATCTGTCTGCTCCTGACCCTAACCCTAACCTTGTTCAATTTTAGGACAATTGTGGCCCGCGAGTCAAAAGGTGCCGTGTCAAACTTTTAATTGCGGCATTTAAACTAAAATAGATCGACTAAAAAGACATCGCTGGTAGCTTTGTTTACCTAGAGGAGATCGAACACAGCTCTTCTGTTCCTCATGCTGATTGGCTCATACGGTCCGTCCGTCTTGGCCAGTATGCGCTCCTCTGTTCACTTTCCTCGGTCCCGCCTCCTACTAATATATAAGGAGAGTCTTGATTACCCCAATTCCGCTCACCTCCGTGCGTGGCTGCACCTGCGTTGCCA